CTTCCTTCCTTCCTTCCTTTCTTTCTTTCTTTCTTTCTTTCTTTCTTTCTTTCTTTCTTTCTTTCTTTCTTTCTTTCTTTCTTTCTTTCTTTCTTTTTGTGCTCAAGGCTAGCACTCCACACTTGAACCGCAGCACCACTTCCGGTTTTCTGAGTAGTTTATTGAGGATAAGAGTTTCATGGACTTTCCTGCCCAGGCTGGCTTTGAACTACAATCCTCGGCTCTCAGCTTCACCAGTGGCGTGAGCGCTGGTGCCCAGTGCCCTGTGACTTAGCACTCAGCGGGAGTGGCTTGAGCTCAGTTATGATGTGCCGGGGTGGGGGTGGGGCTGGTGCCGACCCCGTGAGGATGGCGGTCGGTTCGGTTGAGTCACTGTGTCCATAGCTTCTAGCTCTGCAGTCCACCCCTCGGCCTCAGGGCCAGCAGCTCCCGACGGGCAAAGTGGATTACGCGTCTGCAAATAACATGAGATATTTTTGCAAAGAAGGCAAGTCTTACCCTGAGAATATTTTTTATCGGTGTATATTGTACAAAAGAATATGAGTTTCATTAGAACTTTCTTATGCACGGATAGACTGCACTTTGCTCGTGTTCAGCTCCCTCTTGAGACAGGACTGGCACCCAGCACATGCGTGTATTGTGTGGTCTTAAGTTACATTCCTGGTGCTGACGGCTAGGGCATGAGCTCTCTGAGCAGGGCGGCCACTGGGACCAGCGCCTCTCAAGTTAAAGTAAATGCTCACTTGGTGTAGCGGAATCATAGGAAAAAATGCACAACGGTGCTTGCTCGCTCCATTTCACTCAGCCGCACGGTGTGCAGGCCGAGCGAGCGGCCGAGCGCCGCGCCGGGCCGGCCCTCCCCGCGGCCGGGCTGACAGGCTGTCCTTCTCTTCCGCACAGTGCTCAACCTAACGCTGATCGACCTGCCTGGAATCACGAAAGTGCCCGTGGGGGACCAGCCGCAGGATATCGAGCACCAGATCCGCGAGATGATCATGCAGTTTATCACCAGGGAGAGCTGCCTGGTCCTGGCCGTCACGCCAGCCAACACCGACCTGGCCAACTCAGATGCACTGAAGCTGGCCAAGGAAGTGGACCCCCAGGGTGAGCGCGGCCGGGGAGAGGCCCTCAGCCAGGGACTCCGCGTGGCATGCTGGAAGGGGGGGACAGAGCAGAAATCAGAAATGAGCTGCTGTGCTTCCATTGTTACTCACGCACTTTATGTTGGTAAATCTTTCGTATTTAAAATGCTGAAAGAACAATAGCTAGGGAATACAGCAGGCTCCTCACACCTGAGCGTAAAGTTAACCCTGCCTCTTGATCTAAGCTTTATGGACTACTTTTTTTTCTTTTTACGTGAACATCAGCACAGCAGAATTGAGTCTACTTAGAAGCTACAAGGGTTAAATGAATGCACTCTCAACGAAGAGACTTTGTTTCTTTAAAGTAGGAAGCTCTTTCAAGACACGTAAGACATAATTTAGCTAGAGTTATTTGCGTTGCAAATGTATTATAGAGGTAAAACTGTCTCTGTCACTGGGATACCAGAATCCAGGAAGGTGTCTTCCACATGTGATGTTTTTCATGTCTTTGAATGGAGTGATGACACCTTTCCAGGCCCAGGGAGGCCTTGTGCGCGTCGGTTCTGCAGCATCGCACAGGTGCTCAGCCAGGCCTGCGCTCAGCGCTGAGATGCGTTTTCTTCACTTCTGGGAATTTTTTTTTATAGTCACACCCTTCCTTTTATTCTCTTTATTTCTTGATCCTAATGTCTTGTGATGTTAAAGCTCCTGGATTGATTTTCTCTTGACATTTTCCTCTTCTACCATCGAGCTCTTTTGTCGTTTTGTTTTGCTTTTGTTTTTGAAGAGTTACTCAAGCTTCTGGTTAATTTTTCATTTCAGATGGAATTTTAGATGTCTCACAGGGTCTCCTTGCTTTTGCGAATGCTGTCTTTGGTTTTATAGTTTGCGAATGCTGTCTTTGGTTTACACGTCTCTGTTTGCAAGTGCAGTGTGTTCTCTGCAGATTTCAATGCGAGCCTTTGGAAGCTCACCTTGATAATGGACATTGTCTCAGGGTCCAGATTGGCTTATCACTTGTTTTATTCCTGAGTTTCAATTCTGAAACTTGAAAACCCCGAAGCCTATCTGACAAGTTCAAGGCTGATCCTCCCTAGGCGTTAACCGACCGTGGAAATCACCAAGGGTCTAAAGGACTTCTTGCCCACGCTCACGGAGACCCCATGGTGTTTTCAATCTACTGTTAAACTAACGAAATAAGTAGAAAAAGGAGCTGTAGCTTTCAACCAGGGCATGCGCAGCTCCAGTTGGAAATGGGCTTTTTCTTTCTCAGCCTCCTAGTGCTGTCTTTTGGGTTAAGTGCTGGTGAAGTGTTATTGTGTGTGTAGAGGTGATGTGTGGAAGGTCGCAGCTAACTGGGTCAGGTGAGGAGTACATGTGTTGTTGAGCAGAGCCGCTGCTTCCCTCCCTTTCTCCCAGTCTTTGCCTTCCCGACCCCTCGTTCCTCTTCAATGTGGTGTCCAGTGAGCGGCACTGCTGCACTAGTGCATCCTTCCTCCCACAGGACCTGTGCCCGCCTTTCCCTCCCTCCAACAGACAAACTTACAAGACACAAGGTGCAGAAATAAAAGGCAGCAACAAAAGAGAAAACAAAAAGTAACAAAAAGCCTTCTTGTTTCCATTTCTTGGCATACATTGTAATCAACACCGTTTTATCTGCTCATATGCACATAGCTATTGAGCCTTTGTGATCCTCTACCAAGAATGTCCTCCTGGGCTGGGAAGGTGGCTCAAGTGGTAGAGCGCTAGCCTTGAGCTGAAGAGCTGAGGGACAGCGCCCAGGCCCAGAGTTCAGGCCCCACGACCGGACCCAAAAAAAAAAAAAAAAGAGAATGTCCTCCTTCGGTCTCACTGTGTGTGTGGATGTCTGGAGTCTGGTTGATTATGTCTTTTACCATGCAGTGTGTTTACTTGGAGATTTATAGCCACTTTCTAGTGACAAGTCAGGGAAACCATGCCACCTGTTTCTTTGGGTCTGGCTTATTGGTTTAATGTGGTTTTCCCCAAGTGTTTCCTTTTCCTTATGAATAGTACAATATCATTCTTCCTGATGGGATAGAATTCCAGTGTGTGTGTGTGTGTGTGTGTGTGTGTGTGTGTGTGTGTGTGTGTGTGTATCACATTTTCCAGATGCCCCTCAGCAGACAAATGGATCAAGTATTGGTTTTCTAGTGACTCATTTCAATTTTCTTGTTCTTTATTTTGTCTGTTTTTGGAAGTTATTTTCTTAGGGTTTTTTAGGGATGATATTAACATTTTAATTTATAACAAATTAGCTTGGATCAATGTGAACTTAATTTCAACAGTCTACCAAAGTTTGCTGCTATAAATAGCTCCACTGGCCTTTCCTATGTGTTGTAATGAACAAACAAATGGTGTGCTTGTGCGTTGGATAGCTCCATAGCTACCACTCTGTGTGGTTGTCTTTTAAAGCAGTGAGAACGGAAAAGAGTTACAAAGATGGAAACAAATATATGTTAACATTGTTTATTGCTTTTAATTGTGTAGTTCTCTATGACAGTGCTCTTTGTTTCTTTGTAAGGATTAAAGTCAGCATCTTGTACATTTTCATTTCTGACTAAAGGACCCAAATTGGTATTGTTGGTAGGCAAGTCTGCTTACAGGTGCTTGCTTCTGTTTTCATGGATCTGGGAGTGTCTTAACATTCTCCTTAATTTTTTTAATGAGGCCAAGGAAATTTGTTAGTAAGGCAAAGCAAAGGGAAGACAGAGGCACGATGGTGCACACCGGTCGTGGGCCGGCCCACAGCAGGCACGGGAGTGCTCTCACACCAAGGCACTCGTGGGGAAAATGGCGATTTCTTCCATTTTTGGAAGAAAGTTCTTCATGGACAGTGTTCTCCTCCCTCTCTGAATGGTTCACATTATTGCCTATTATCCTATGGCGAATTCAACCGTTAGCCTCACCGAGGGTCTGAGTGACGGAAAGTCTCCTCTCTCTGGCTGTTTTCCCGCGTCCGTGGCTGTCTTTGAACTGTTCGATTTTGACGTGTGTCGAGGTGGATCGCCGAGTGTATTCCACTTCAGTTTGTGGAGCTTTTTGGATGTGATGACACATTTTTGATCAAATTTGGAAAATGTAATGCTTTATTCAAGTCTATGTTGTCCCCCTTGGAGGGGACACCGCGTGAGTTCGCTGGCATGCTCTCCAAGCTTTATTTGTTTATTTTCCCACCCTTTTTTCTCAGCCTCCATTGATCTGTCTGAAAATCTGCAATCTTTTTACTTTGTAACTTACCTTTAGATGTACAAAGGAGTTGCCACGTACCAAAGCAGTGTGTGAATAATGTCTCCTGACAAACACCACACCTTTCACGCCCGCACCCATCCCTCCTGCCTCACCCTTCATCTTAATTTTTTGTCTTGGTTGTGTTTCTTTTTGCCTGCTGGCGTCTCTTGTTGATCTCTATAGTGATTTTTCATACCACTTATTTTCATTTTTATATCCCAAATTTAAATTAGATCCAGTTCAATAAGCATGCTTTCTGTTTGTGTTTATTTTAGTAGTGGGCTTGGATTTGATCCCTAGCTCTACAAACACATACGCACACAGTTATAATCACCAACTGTGCTTGTTAGACATGCAAGTTATACCTCCAGTTGTACATTCTCATGCTTTCTTTATATATGATTTTGTTTCATTCTTTGAACATAATTAACATAGGCTTGGTCAATTCATTTTGCTGTCTGGGTTTCTTCAGGGGTAATTTCCATTGATGATTTATGTTCTTACCGATCAGCCATAATTTTTATCTTACTGGAGCCTCTAAATTGTCATTGTTGGAAGTGTGATAGTTAATAATGTGTTAGCACTGAAAGTAAGGTTCTACTCCCCCCC